TATACAGTATGGAAGGGGGGGGTTCCCAAATATGAACGATATTTGATGTTCTAGTAGAATTTTAACAATCTCTGTTTTGTGGTCAAATAATATGTCGCAGTCACTAGCGATAAGTGTGCATAATACTGACAAACAACACAAAACTCTTATCAAATTAGGTAAAACGTACTTCAAATACAATAATATCTCAAGCTGAAATGTTCTGCTGAATTAAAACACGATTCAAGAAACGCATGAAACATTTACTTTATCACGTGAATTTTTTTCCATACCTCAGACTGAAAGTGAAATATTTTGTTAAAATTTGTTTTAGCTTTGATGTGGACGATGGAAGTGGACAAAATAGGAATCTTCTGGACTCGTCCAGTCCATCTGGTCTGGTTTTACACGCTATGCCCCAGCGGCGGGAGTCCTTTCTATACAGGTCGGACAGCGAGTTTGAGATGTCGCCTAAGTCTGTGTCCAGACATTCTTCTATTGGTAGTGAGTCGTAAGTAACTGATTTCATGTTCTGTTTAGTGTTCATACTTTTCGAGTAACATTAGATGTAGAAAGTTTGTCCCAGAAACAAACCGTACTAGAAGAGTTGACACTCAGGGCACTATAAAAATCAAAATATCGAAACTCACTCAAAACAAATTCAGAATTATAATAATTAAACAAACAAATCCAAATCAATTGCGCCAGTAGCACATACACAATATAATATAAAAATATGTACTACTTGTGAAGAAGGTACAAAAGGTATACTTTTAAAGGAAAATGTCTGCAGTAATATCTCCTAAAAACACTGTGGATATCCAGTCTATCAGACACTATCCAAAAAGTGCAGACGACAAACAAGACAACTAACAAGGCAAATTAAATACCGAGTTAGGTCCTCAACTCACAACGTCTCAAACCTATAAACACTCATCGTCCGCGGTCGATTGTGGATATGGTAGTTATCCGTTACCCATAAAACCATTAAAATGATGTTAGCATTGTAGAAAATATGTTCTCGTTATTAAAAAACACTCTTAATTTCCACATTTGACAAACACTCAACCTCCACCCGTAGACAATTATTACAATATAACAAGAACTAGCCCCCCAGTGGCACAGCGGTATGTCTGCGGACTTACAACGCTAGAATCCGGGTTTCGATACCCGTGGTGGGCAGAGCCCAGATAGCCCATTGTGTAGCTTTGTGCTTAATTACAAACAAACAAGAACTATGTAATATTTTGGCAGTTAGAACATGCTTCAAAATACACAATATTTTCAGACTTGTAGTTCATGTTGACATTAACTTTGAAGGTCCTTCCTAATTTATAGGTGATTTTTTTCCCTGTTTATGGATAAATGTTTCGTATCGTTTTTCACATCCTCCTTTCTCCTTGTAAACTCTTCAGTGATGGTAAACTTTTTTATTAGTTAATTTGCTGTCTTGGAAGCAAACACCAAAAGTCTTTACACATAAGATCCAACAAAGATTTTATATTTCACGGATTAGAAATTTTACTACAAAATAATTACACAGGCCTGCGATAGTTTTATTGTCTTGAAATTCTTAAATGTTCTACAGTAATTCCTGTACGCTGAATCCGAAAATGATATCCATTTTTCTCCATCACGTACATATTTTTCACAAAACGTCATAACACAATATATAAAAGAAACACCACAACACGTAGTTTCGAGACTAAAAGACGTAGACTTCACAAAATAAATCGGGAAGAATGAGGATACATATTCGTTTCACATCAATGTTCTTCCCTTTTCTTCAGTTTGTTTGAAATTTTTGTTAACAAATACAATAATAAAATATGTTCATTGTGGTAAACGAAATAATGATTGGATCTAATTAAGAGTTTTTTTTTTCTTCCCGATTTGTAAAGATTCATTAAGTGATAGAAAAAAAAAAGAATATTATTTTCGAAATCTGCGTAGCTGAATTATGGAAAATCCGTTATTAAAACCAAAACAATTTTTATGAAGTTTAAATTCGCAGGCCTGTGTTATTTTTGTTTCTACGAACATCATTAAAAATCTAACAACAAATAGCTGTATTATTTTTTAAAAAAACTCTATTAAAAAAGCAAACTCACGTGAAAAACAATATATGAATCGTTATATTTTCAAAAAATAAGAGTTTATTAGCGAATATGAATCTATGCTGAAGGATGAGTAAAACAACTCTTAAAAAATCGATAAATGTGGTGTTTACAGGCGAGACTCCATGGAGCTGCTCAGAAATGAATATTGGAACGTTTTTCATTTTTTCTTTTCGAATTACACCAAGTAAATCTTACCTAAACATATCAATTTTAAAATATTATTGTGTTAAAATTGTTGAAATAGAGTAAGATTGATATATTTTTCTTAATTTGATATGTAGGTGTGCACTCAATACCTGAAAGGTGCTGTACGGTTTGGATATGTCTACACTGTCGAATGTAATGAAATAAACAGTTGTTGTTATTGACAACATTAGTGTGTGTGTGATATATCAAGTTATATTTGTAAAAAAGAAGAATATTGAAATGTCAGACAAAACGTTCGAGATCATCTTTGTGCTTGCTTAGTAGGTTCCAAACATGTTTGTGTAAGATAGGTGTAAGGTTTCAATATTGCTTGAAACATCTGTGACATTATTAATATCCTTGTGTTGTTTTCTAATATGAACAATATACCAGTTAGTGGAAGGATTTTTCTTTCGTTTTTTCTTGTTCGACATTATAATGCGATATTGCCACCAAAGTAAAATTTCCTTAAGTTTTTATGAAAATTATTGTTTTATTAGTTTTTTTTTTCAATTGAAGTATGTTTCAGTATAACTCCATAGAAGAGATAGTCTACTTAAGTTGCGGTTTCAGTCTGTCAATAAACGTGCCTTTTTTTTTCATAAAGAGGCTATCTTAATATATTGTCTTATTCAAGATTTAGAAAGGAATGTTACGTAAAATTATTTCAAAACGGTCAAGTTATTAGCTTTTTACAGTCCATGTCGCCACGCCAGGTCATGCTGTATCTGACGGCTGTACAGCTTGACAATAGCCCTGCAGCGTAGTTTCCATTGCAAAAGGCTTCGTCATAAGACTGTCAAGGCCAAAGCACACCGCTACTTCCCTGAATCTTTTTCACGTTCAGGTTGTGTACGAGGACAACGGTTTCTCAGCACCCTTTTTAACGGTTTGATCTCACAGTATGCAATGGTTGAACGGGAATTATGACTGGAAGACTTGTTATGGTGAACCCGTATCTGTACAAAGCCATGTGGTATAAAAGATCTGGAACATTGGTTTTATAGAAAGCAGAGATAATCTTGACCTTTGTATCCAATCTCCCGATATCTAACTTGTCCCTGGCGCAGTAGTTAGCAGTAATTATGAATCCATTCGAAAATGTTTTTCAACATGCCGTATACTACTTTTGAATTTTTTTTACCCACTGACTGGGTACTATACTGACCGGTAAAAAGTGTCACAAGACATGCTTGCCCTGTCAGTCGTGGGGGCGTTATAACGTGACGGTCAATCCCACTATTCGTTGGCAAAAGAGTAGCCCAAGAGTTGGCGGTTGGTGGTGAAGACTAGCTGCTTTCCCTCTAGTCTTACATTGATAAATTAGGGACGGCGAGCGCAGATAGCTCTAGCGTAGCTTTGCACGAAATTCAAATACAAACAAACAAACAATTAACCATATTGATGGTTAGTGACACACATAAAAAAGTATCAATAATAAAAAAAATATTTAACTGTAAGTTCTCAGTTACTTTACAGAGCATTTACCCCCCCTCCAAAAGTAGAAGTATTTAACGAGGATAACATATGGAGTATGCCAAGTAAATTGGTGCCTGCACTTTATCAAGATGCCCCCAGTAGCACAGCGGTATGTCTGCGGACTTACAACGTTAGAATCCGGGTTTCGATACCCGTGTTGGGCAGAGCACAGATAGCCCTTTGTGTAGCTTTGTGCTTGATTACAAGTAAACAATAAACTTTATCAAGATACACGGTAGTGTGTCGTGCGGCCAAAACAAAGTGCAGGACACAATGTGTGTTATTTACAGAAGTGATAGTTTAACATTATTCTACTTTCTGTAGCTCCAACTGTCGTAATCCAAACTATCATATATTTCCAGCGGGTGTGCTTTACTGAACCCTTACTTCACATACCGAGTTTCAAGATAATCCATTAAGAAATATACGAGATGTAAAATGTCCAATTTTTATTGAATTTCTTCCTTTTTTTCTTCGCACCGAAAGTACAGAAACTATTTGATGGAAAAACACACTTAACTTTACAAATTTGGTACACTGATAGATCTTTCCAACGTACAATTAGGTGTCAAATTTGGTGTAAGTATAAGCCACTTGTGCAAAGTTATTCAACAAAAACTTCTAAATTTTGACCAAACTTTTTGCGGACGCCTACGCAAAATGTCACGTGAGCTACCGATCTGAAATTTTTACTACAGCTTCCCCTAAGAGTAAAGATGGACATTTTTGAGTGTGTTTTTTTGTTATTCGGTTTAAAGACGGCTGATTTAGAGCAGCAAAACTGTAGGGTGAAAGCACATGCAGATACAAAGTATTGGTTAGGCCAAGCAAACTAGATTAGCGGTTTCTAGTTCAAGTTTTCAAAAAAATCATATGGGTGGACCGTTATTATTCATTGTCAATTTTAAAGCATATATTTGTAAAGTTTATGAAATTCTCCTAATTAAACAGCTTTTAGCATCACGCGATGTTAGCTTAAGCAATTAGTGTAAATAATGATGCTTAATACGACTGACAAGAAACTGTTAATCTAAATCCATGGCGTTACTATAAAGGAAGTTATTGACACTGTTTTAGAGAGGAAAACTACCACCATAGATTTTAAAGAATCTTCTTGGTTCTGTAAAGTATAGGACTGTTCCGAATAATAGGGTTGCGATCTTAAAGCTAATGTTGGTTACTATAGAGTGTCACTTTCTTACTTGCTGTATATTGACAAAAAGTCATGATATCTAATGAAAAACACCTTTTTTTTCACACCTAAGGTATATTTGATTAGATAGTTTGTAACATATGATTTTCGTGTTGCGCTATGTTGCTATGTGTATTATTCTGACTTTCCTATAGCATAGGCAACAATACCTGGACCTGGATCACCACGATTACTTTGATGTTTTCTTGGTGCAAAGCTACATAATGAGTTATCTGCGCTCTGTCCACTGCGGAAAATCGAACCCGTGATTTTTGCGTTGTAAGTCCACGATTACGCTCATGGGTGCATATAAGGGGGTTAATATTAAAAAAGTCACAGATGTATCTTAGAACTTAATTGTGGTGGCTGGCCAGGTGGTTAGGGAGCTCGACTCGCAATCTGCGGGTCGCGGGTTCGAATCTCCATCACTCCAAACATGCTCGCCCTTTCAGCCGTGGGGGTGTTATAATGTGACAGTCAATCCCACTATTCGTTGGTAAAAAAAAAGAGTAGCCCAAGAGTTGGCGGTGGGTG